CAAACATCTGATGGACTGAAACTGGTTTTAAGTAGAGATTGTATGGGTTCTCCTCTTACTATAAAGACTTTTTTAAAAAGGTAAAGGTATTCCCCATTGACAAGGTTGTCCAGTCATGTCCAACATAGGGAGTCGTGCTCATTTTCATTAATAAACCAAAGAGCCAGCATTGCCAGAAACTACTCTGTGATCATGTGGCCAGCATGACTGCACAGAACACTGCTTACCTTCCCACTGAAGTGGTATCTATTTATCTACTTGCATTTCCATGCTTTTGAACTGCTAGATCGGCAGAAGCTGGGACTATTGATGGGAGCTCACCCCATCATGCAGCACCCGGGCACTGCTAAGCATTTATTCTCACATGTTTCTCTATTCATTCTAGTTATACCATTTTCCATTGAAGAACTTGAGCCACTATACAAGGTTCTTCTCCTCCTATTTCATCCTCATATGTGATAGTGGCAGTAACAAGTCCAAGGGAACCCAGTGTGTTCCATGGCTGAATGGACCATATGCACTTTGATTCCCATAGTGGCTGAGGAATTGCGGGAGTTGTAGTCTGACACATCCAGAAGGTGCTACTAACTGCTACACTACACTGGCTCTCAGAGTATCTTATTCCTTTCCCATGTCACTTTTCACGATGCCCCATGGATTACAGCTCTCCTGTGTCACTTTTAGCTTACTTCCTCCCCCAAAGACACACACACTTTTAAAGGCAGACTTGCGCACAGTAATACCTTATATACTCACTTATAAGTCAACCTCATGTGTAAGTCAAGGGCAAGTTTTGCAGACAAAATTATGGATTTTGATATGACTCATGGATAAGTTGAGGCTAAAATCTAGGTGCATATAGCCAAGGGTCTAAAGGATGAAGCAAAGCAAAACAAAATCAAACAACTTACAAAATTCCAGCAAACAAAGCTATTTATGCTCACTCTTAAGGCTGGATGGGTGAGAGAGTACAGGGGAAAAGTGCTTCCAGGACAGATTATACTCTTGCCTTTCACCAGGGGATGGTTTCTTCTTATAAATCAGAAGTTAAGATACAGTACTTACATTGACCCATGAATAAGCTGACTCAGGTTTTTGAGGTCAATTTTTTACCTAAATTTCTAAACTTATACATAGGTATATGTAACTCTGGTTCCTGTAGATGGGTGGGTCAATGAGTTCATTGGTTTGTTGGTTAACTGGATAGTCAGTCGGTTGGTTAATCATTTGTATCCCTCCTTCCACCCAATGTGGGACCGATGGCAACTCACAACACAAACTGAAACAGAATGCAAGTAAAATCAGTCATAATAATTTTAAAGCAATTAAAAACAATTAAATACCACTATCAGAAGAGAACAGCACTGAACTAAAAACAGCTGAAAAGCCTTTAAAACATAACAGATAAGAAAGTACACCCTGCGTTTTTTTAAAAAAAAAACTTACTCAGCAGCCAATTAATACTCCAAAACCTTCTAAATACTAATTCATTACTATTATTTGTAGGCAATGTATAAATAATCCTCTACACACTTGCCAATATTCTTCTGCTGCATCTTATAAACGTATAAAGCTGTGGAAGCAACTTATAAAGCAGTGGAAGTTTTTTCTGTGTTATGAATTTGTTCTTTCTCACAATCCACAAAAATGTACATTGGGATGGAGGAAGAAAAGATGGATTGATGTCTGTACCAGCTTTGTCTCTTAAAAGGACTCTCTAAGCAGCCCACCATTTGATATAGTTTATTATGAAAACAAGTAAGACCATAACAGAACTCAAAACTGCAAAGAGCTATAACAAGTGTTTTAAAAGCCTCACTGAACAGCCACCGCAGCTCAATTGTCAGGCTACAGCTTTGGACAGCATCTGAAGAAGCCTTTAAATGCCAGATTAAATTGTGGAAGAAACATATTCATAGGCTTGATTTCTCTTGACACCATATGCCAGTTATCCTAAATCATTCACTCAACTTTTCATGGATCTTCTGAAAGCTCTAACACTTCAAATAGTTTAGCTATAAGGGAAACAGAGGAACAATCTTTTCTTTCTTCTCCATCCATTCTAGAACTTCTTCAGGTCTTCATTGGTAGTGGTGCTACATTTTAAAATAATTAAATACTTTAATCCTTTGTTAAGAATCTTGCCTCTTAAGAGTCTCTCACTGAGCAGCATAAGAGAGCTTTCATCCACTTCCCCTGCCCTTCAGTTTGTTCAGCTAATGCAAAGTGGGCATGCATCTCCATTCTTTTTCCCTTCTCAGTCCTTTTCATATGTTTTAACATTTTTCACACAGAATAATATGGAATCAGACTACAAACGATGTATGTAAATCTGGCTCATTTTCAGTTATTTGTCCTGGCTACAGAATTTGGTCATCGTCCCCCCCATTGATGGTTTTGGACTTTTAGGCAATAGAATCCTCTTTGGCAGCAACCAGTATTGCTCCGTATTTATTTCTACATCTTCTCATCCTTGTTAAGCATCCTTTATTATCTTTCTTTGGCAAGGTCCATATTCATCAGAGGTTAGAGACCAGAATCGATTTCCTGTTTTGTATTTCCTTGTAATCCTCACTTGCATGAATAGCTTCAATTACTTTAGCAGAAGTAGGTTCACAAGTGACCAGAATTTGGCTAATAAAGACACTTCAAGTATAACTTGCGGCACTTTCCTCTCTCCTAAAGAAGCATCAGTGGGACGTATATCTCGGGGTGCTTTTATGAATCTGGATTTGAGTTGTATTTAGATAGATTTTGTGAATGGAAGACGGAAGTATACCCAAAACAGAATTTCTTCCCATACTGGAGTAGATACTCTGGGCTCCTCAGTACTGCATGGCAAGTCTATACATCCTATAGCATAGGAAACAGCATGATCCCCACAGCAACACTATACAGGTCATACACAGTCCATTTGACAGTAATTACTTGACCAGCTATCAGACAGTGCAGCCTGCAGACTATTGAGCTAGAATCTCTGTACTGTTTCAGTCCAAACAGATTTGTGTCATGATATGTCAAGATTCTCTTCAATCTAGTAGCCAAGATTGTCATAACACATCTGCTGAAGATTATTCTAATGTAGATTATTCTTGCACTTCATCCCTTGTTGTGCAAGAAAACCATAAGCAATCAGCATCCTTCTACAAATGCTTGTGTTGTGATTGCCATCTGTCATTATTAGCCTCTCCCTTGGCTGCATTTTATTAGCTGCAAACTGTACGGAATCCAATATTTGTATTTTTTTCGCACTTCTATAGCAAATAAGAAATTTATCACCTCTAAATATTGCTCTGCTGGTTTATATAGAGCAATGTAAACTGTCTAAAATGTTTCTTTTGGATACACATACCTACACATCCAGAAAGAGAGGAGCGGCTCTCTCTCTCACACACACGCACACATCAAAATGTTGCAGTTGGGAATCCCAAAAATCCCAATTACTCCATTCTATCCTCCACCCTCCCCTTAAATTTTCCACTTGACTCCTATCACTTGTTAGGAAACTCAAGACATTATCACACACTGCTTTTAAACTGCAATTATAGTCTTAAAATAATGTCTTTGGTGATACTTATCACATGATGTTACCTCTGACTTGTTGCTGTTATGTCATCCAAGTATGGTTAGGGGTCTCTTTTCATTGATGAGGGAAACCTGTCAATATGGAGTTTATCACACAAGAGAAATCGCGTGTTAAAATGGGGCTTTAAATTAGGAAAAAAACGCAAAAGCGGTCATGATTTCACACTACATCACTGTTAAGTTGATGTTAAAAGGCTAATCCGAATGAAACCCCTCATTTATGCTTCTTTTTACTTTCGGAAAAACCCTAAAGTAAAAATGAGGGGTTTTCGTTCAGATTAAACTCCTTTTAACAGTGCTTTCACATTTCACACAGGGCAGAACAGGAGAAATCCCGTTCATTAAACGCTTCCGCTTTTGCAGGTTTTTTTTTTTTCACTTTAAAGAGCAATTTCACACGGGGCTCCCCATGTGATAAACTCCTATCTCACAATCACACAGCAGTCCCAGTACTCGTCATGTGTGAAATATCACTGCCACGGCAGTTGCAATATTGGCAGTCATAAAGTATCCCCACTCCTCTTTACTTTTCCCCAAAAAACTGATTCACCTTTATTTATTTATTTATTTATTTATTTATTTTGTATTTTTTTTTCTAACTCATTGTTGTAAACAAAAATTTAAATTTAAAAATGAAAGACATGCTGGAGAGGGTATAGGGCAGGGAAGCAGGGTTAAGGGAGAATCGGAAAAACAGTGCAAGGCAGCAGTAACCTCAGTCGAGCAATTGTGAATATGTGCAATAATGCCTGCTCTCAATCCAGTATGTTTGAGCTTTTGTTAATTAGCATGATTGCAGCAAGAACGGGGTTCATGTGATAATGTCCTCAACCCCCATTGGGCTCTTTGAGAGTTCTCCTTCCCTGAACCAGTGCAGGCTGGTAACTACAATGTCAGTAGGGCAAGGAATATGCCCTTGGTTACAGCACAGACTTTAAAGGAGCTGTCCATGGAGCAGAACCTTTAAAGTTCAGACTAGAACCCAGAGGAGATTTACCATTGCACTGAATCAGATGTTTTATGTTTTTCCTCTAAATAAATCTTGTACACCTGGAAACCGTGAGGTTCCCCAATCCTGCTAATATTTCCCCCTTATGGATAGATAATTCCATTCACCTCCTCACCCATCCTGTCATCTGAGGTGGGCGATTCACATCTCTTCATGGGAAAGCCTACCTTATTCAAGGTCAACAAGAGACCAATGAAGTGATTGAATGGATGGGTCCTCCTGCTTCTCCTTGCCACTGCCAAATGGCTGGAGGCTGGAATGGAAGTGACTGTTGTTGCTGTTGTTGTGTGTGTCTTCAAGGTGAACCTATCAAGGTTTTTGTTGGCAAGATTTTGTTCAGAGGAGGTTTGCCTTTAACTTGCTCTGAGAGAGTGTGACTTGTCCAAGGTCACCCAGTGGGTTTCTCTGGCTGAGCAGTGATTTGAACCCTGTTCTCCAGAATTGTAGTCCAGTGTTCAAACCACTACACCAATGTCAAATTGATTGTAGTGTTAAGCAAAAAAGATCAACAGCAGCCACTATCTATCTGCAAATTGGGGTACATGTTTTTAGAGCTGGTAGCTCACACACACCCAGCTTCTCATTGACAATCCTCTTTCAGTCTTGTGCATATGACTGAAAACAAGGCCAATCAAAAGTGACAAGAAGTTGTGATCTAAGGCATCTCTGGATGTTTCTGTTTGGCAGCAGACTCCGTTTATAGTCATTGGAATTCAGCAGCTACACTTTCATTTTGACCATTTTTTGCTAGCTCATATGGAACTGCCCAATTATGAAAGACAGAGATTTGGAGAGTGGGGAGCTTGGTTGATTAAGGTTTCACCTAACATGAAAAGAGGCAATATGGTGAAGAGAGCCAGTGTGATATAGTGATTAGTGTTGGGAGACCAGAGTTTGAATCACCACTTGTGAACACCTACTGAGAGTCATATTCTCTCAACCTTTCTGCTTGTTGCTGTATGTCTTCAAGGCATTTCCAGCTTATGGTAACTCTGTGGTGAACCACTCAGAGTATTTTTTTTTGGCAAAGATTTATTCAGAGCAGGTTTGCCTTTGTCTTCCTCTGAGAATGTGGCTTGCTCAAAGTCATCCAATGGGTTTCCATAGCTAAGCGGCATTTGAACCCTGATCTCCGGAGTCATAAGAACAATGCTCAAATCACTACACCATGCTAACTTTCTTTTCTCTCAGTCTTAGGGGAAAGCAATATCTTGAATATCTTGCCAAGAAAACCCTTTGATAAGCTAGAGCTTACTTGAAGGGATCTAACAGCAAGACAACATAACTCTATCAAAATTCATCAATAATAGTTAACAATGATGTTGGTTAGAAGTTTTGTTCAAAAATGAATTTCAAAAGTAACATCTGAAAAAATTTCAAGATTAAAAAACCCAAATATGAATTCTGAAATATAGATATATATATAGTCAAATTTAGATGTTTACATTTGGCTTTATTTCTGCTTTAAAGATAATCGGTGCTCATGTCCATAATCTTTTACCGTAGTTCTACAAGATAAATAACTCCTGGAAAAAAAAACCTTCTAATTAAATTTTCTGAGCATAAAAATAGCAATGCCATTTCTATATTGCAGTTTTCAAAAAAAAAAACTTCAGGCAGATGAGAAAAAAAACATATTAGGGAACATACTATACATTTGTACCTATTCTTAGATCTGTATAACATAATTTTCTGTAGAAAACATTAAAAAGTATTTGCTTTCAAGATTATTGCACTGAGCGGACTTTCACAGTAAATGGACAATTTTTTATTTCGTGCAACTCACTTGTGATCATTTTGAATACCCCCCACCCAGGCCATCAGTGAGAGTGGGTTGTGACTTCAAGTACTTGTTAATATTTTTTTATTTGAAGTTCTTAAAAATTATGCTTGAAGGATACAACCATCCAAAATAATGTCTTAATTTATTTTGAACATGCCTGTGTGATAAGTTACATGGTGCTACACACCCAGTTAAAAGATGTGATGTGTTAACTTTCCTTTTTGTTCCCAGTTGCTGCACCTTAATTATTCTTGATGCCATAATTATAAATCAGCAAAAACACAGAGGTTATCTCAGGAGACCTATGATGAAACCATTTGCAGGCTTTCCATGAATTAAGCTTTGAAGTCAGCATATATTTTTTCAGTTAAGTAGAACATAAATTAGTAAACCAGTTCTGAGATGCTGGATCATGGAGACATAGCAGAAAGATTCTGCAGAATGCACCACATCTCCTGTTCCAATCCCCATAAACCCAGCTTCTGTGAGCTGCTCACCGCCCCAAAACAGTCATATAATGGCCAGTGGAATGTAGGAGAAATTTGAGAAGTGTCTGGCTATGTCCCTAGTCAGATGCATGATGGTGAAGGCATCATCTGGAACCTTCCAAGGGTCTTGAGGAGGTCCTAAAGGATCATGTCATGGTCATGTATCTAACTTTAGGCACATAGCTAGATGTGTCCCAGAAGTCCTCTGCTCTTCATTGGCCCCTAAACAGCTGTGTCAGAGGCAGTCAGTATGCAAAATATTGGGTTTACTGGACTTCTGGTCATTCCATGAGAGAGGTAGAGGATTCTGGCCTCTGCAACAACCAAAAAAGTGAGTGACACAAAGGAAAATTGGACTTACATCTACATAACTCACTCACAAGATAAGGTGACTTAGGGGGAAAGCAGACTGGCAGCACGGGGCCATCCTGGGAAGGTGCACCGCTGGATCGAGGCATCCCCATGCCTCGATCCAGCAATGCACTTTCGCCGCCCCTGAAAGGAGCGCTAAAATAGCGCTCCTTTCACAAGTCAGCAAAAGTGCACCTCAAAAGCATGAGGCGCACTTTCGCTGACTTTTCCGCTGCAGCGTGTGCGGATGCTGCGGCGGGAGGTTGCCCCCGGAGTGCCAGCCGTGCGGAGGGCCGGTGGCTCTGACGGAACTGTATTTTATTGTGGCACCAGAGCTCTCTGACAGAGAAGGCTCAATGTCTCAGGAAAAAAACCAACTCCCATGATTCCCTAGAACTAACCCTAACCCTAAAAGTGGACTCAATTTGCACTATTTCTGGCAGTCTGCAATCCCCCAAATTACAAATCATAGATCCTACCAATAGATAGAATGATATAGCTAAGGCTTTTGGTGCCTTACTGGTTTTACCAAAAAAAAAATCATTTTAAACAATTTTAACCTGGCTTTTACTGATTTGTTGTTATTGTGTACCTTCCAAGTTGTTTCCAAATTACGGCAACCTGATGGCGAATCTATCATGGGGTTTTTATGGCAAGATTGGTTCAGAGGAGGTTTGCCATTGCCTTTCCCTGTGGCTGAGATCACGTGATTTGCCCAAGGTCTAGTTGTTAATATGTTTTCAGCATTTTTAAATTATTTTACTTATGCTGTTTTAAATATGGAAGATTGGTTTTATTGTGCACCACCCTGAGATCTTCAGATAAACGGTGGGATATAAATATTTTAATTACATACATATCATTTAGTCATTTAGATTGGGGGGGGGGATTAACTGTCAGATATGAGGGAGGGATGCTTCTGAAATTTCTTGCTACATACACCAAAATAATTTTCCTGGTGTTAGATATAACATATCTTTACTGACTTGGAAGTGGGACACATTTTGTTTTTCTATTTCAGGTGATAAAACATCTTGGGTCAGTTTTTTACAAGATTTTTACTACTGAGTTAGTGGGAGGAAAAGACAAATCAGATGAGGATGTCATGAAGACAGCCCATGCCCAATTCATGTAAACCGAACTCAATAAGCCCAGGACAAATTCAGAGTAAAAATAACCCATATAGACAAGCTCTGAGATTACATCCAACATAAGCTCATGCAACAGAGGTAAAGAACTTCTGAAAGGAAAATCATGCCTTCCAGAAATTGCTTTGTCCCAGAACAAGGGTGGGAACCTTGCCACCCTCCAGATGTTGTTGAACTGCAGCTTCCAGTATTGGTCATATTGGCTGCACTGGCTAATGCTGATGGAAGTTATAATCCAGCAACACCTGGAAGGCTTCATTATTCTCATCCCTTCCCTAGAAGAAACCACCATTGGGGTATAAATATGTATGTTTGCATGTAATACATAGTTTGGCAATTTAACTTATCCTTTGCTAAAGTCTTTTATTTAAATTATGATCCCATGCTGAGCCTGTTGGATTTTTAAGAGTGTAAATCTGAACCAATATATGTATATAATAAATGTGCCTAACTTATGTGAGCATACTTGGTGATGATGACACTTCAAAGGAACATATGAATTGGCATCGTTTAAGCATTTCACATCTAGTTTGGAATGTAACAGCTTTTAACATCAGAGAGTCCATGGGAATATTTTTGGAACAACTCTTTGGAGCACCTGATAGATTCTTGTGTTTCATTTTGAACTTCATCTGCAGACTAAAACAGGACACAAGGCCTAAGCAGACTGCCAGAAATAGTGCACATTAAATTGAGGCACTGCCCTGGCTCAGTGCTAGGGAATCATGGGAACTGTATTTTTTTCTGTGACATTGAGCCTTCTCTGTCAGAGAGCTCTGGTGCCACAATAAATTACAGTTCCCATGATTCCCTAGCACTGAGCCAGGGCAGTGCCTCAATTTAATGTGCACTATTTCTGGCAGACTGCTTTGGCCCACAGTTAGAGATCGGTAGTGTGCAGTAGGAAATAACATGGTAGGGGGAATTAGAAAAGGATTACAACAAAATAAGGCAACAGATACACCACAGATTGCTATCTTGTGCAGAGGGGGTGGGGATACATCTCCCAGTGAATTGAACCAGCTGGATGCCTGAATGCTTCGTAAAAATTTTATTGTGAAATACGCAGATGATCAGTCCATCTGCAAAACATCAGGAGTGTTTATCATGGTCTCCCAGAGAGTTCTGGGTGTGTTCCCCTTTGACACTCTTTACGTGAGCTTAGCTTAATAGGAGTTCAAAGGAAATGTTAGAATTGTTTCAAGGTGCTATGAGAAAGAGAGTGAGAAAGAAAAAAAGAAAAGAGGAGTAGACAAAGAGAAGAATGGAAAGGAAAGAGCACATTCACACAGATGTATTCAGTGCTTGTCTTTCATTTACGGTATTTCTGCCTTACTGTAGCCTCAAGGCCAAAACTGAAAGTAAGTTCCACACAAATAAAAAATGAGCAAGTTTTCAAACTATGATCTCTTGGCTTTCTAAACTTCAAGCATTTTCAAACTACATTGAGAGTTGTTTAAAACACACACATAGGACGTTATCACACGGGGGCAAATCTGCAGGTTAATCCACACAAAACCCAAACAGAAACTGGATTAGTGCCCCGTGTTTTCACACGACGTCACACAGAAACTGGACAGAAAGTGGACAGAAACTGGTGTTAACCGTGATCTTTTGAAATTCGGTTGTTTGGAGGAAATGCAAATGTGCAATTAAGGTAATTTCGCATTTACCGTAATGTGATTGCCAAATGCGCATTTGGGAGC